CTATAACCAAAGTTTTGGGCGAAGTAATCGTATATGATGTCATTTAATAGTTTTATGTTGGAATTTAAATCTTGTGATGTGATTGGATCATTGGACTGAAGAGCGAATTTGAAATGTTCGTTGGCCGTTGACCATTCGGAATTGCTTTTAGGGAGTTTAATACCTTTTCTTAAATTCGCAATATCTTCCTTTTCAACCGTAGGAGTTTCGTTGATTGTCGATTGGTCCATTTCAGGAATATTTTCCGTGTCAGAATTGTTTTGTTCCTCTAGGTCTGTACGGAATTCACTTTCTAGGCTTGAATAACTCTACAACTGCGTTGATGCATCTTTAATCCTCGCGCTCCTTTACATACTTTACCACAGCAACACTTGATTACGGTTCGACTTGACACGACGACATTAGGAGAATTCATGACGGGCGTTTGCCTTGCCGTATTTTCGGCAGAGTGATCTTGTTCTGCGTAATTAACTCGCTGTTTACATCGCCATGAATGTCGACCGAGTGAAACGAAATCTTTCTCACAGAACGAACAAACGACGCAGGTCAACAACATTAATATAGAACTTGAGCGAATCATGATTACAATATTTACTGATGGTTATTTGTGAAATAATTTGTGATTCAAGTAATAAAATTTTGATAAAACTGCAGACACGTGCAGAGTACGTCAATGCTCTGCTCAATGCCAGTAATATCATAATAATATCATATAATATAACAATAATAATAATAATGAAAACTTTATTAAGGTTACATTATATGATGAAAACACTGATTTCATCATTTTTTACATTTTTATTGATTTATATTCAGGGACTGGAGATCTATCGACTGCCGGAAGTTTTTTTCCAAAATATTAAAATGCGTCCGAAATATAACAAAAAATGTTATAACCACTGATCCTTTGCCGCGAAAGTTGTAATTGCAATTGACAATATGTGGCTTCATGTGATACTCGATACCGGATGTGTGACCTTCAACCTCGCTTGTGTCTTTGTGGTTCACGACAGATCTTCAACTGTATTTTCGTTTGGCCGATTTAGATCGGTCTGTATAGCTATCCCTTTTTTACATTTGCGTTTCGTCGGCATATTAGCAAGTTTTTTCGCGTGGTTTCTCGCATGTACGGTTTGTGATAAACTGATGATGAGTGAATGACACCGAAAACCCTTTCCAAAACACACTTTACTAATTTTAATCCGATTGTAGTTCGAAGTGATAACAGAGAGCGGAAAAACCCCGCCAAACCTAATATCGTCTTTTACGGAGATTGAAATATTCTCAGATTGTCCCCACAAAAATTGTTTAGAAACGCGCACGTTTTATCCGATTCTCTCCAAACTTTGCCACGATGTTGAACAATAGTACAGCAGCAAAACCGTGTTATAGGCATCTATTCTGCCGTTCTCCCAAAATTTAGATGAGTCAATTTCTCTGCTTTATATCAAAGCAAATATAATATCTGTCAAAAAACGCGAACAGGGTTTTGTTCTTTGATCATTTGAGATGGGAAATATTATGTTTCGGAAGCCTTTGAGGTAAATCAGAAGCGTTCTAATCTCGTGGCGCAAAGGCCGTCATATTTTCAAAAGCAACCCGTAGCAAGTACAGTTTTTAAAGGTGTAGAATTTTTAGCAAATTTTTAGCTACAGCAATGATTTATCATTATGCATGCAAAATTTGAAGGGGAAAACTTGAAAATTGAGAGCGCGGTGAGCATTTTGGTGAAATGAGTTTCCATCATGTGGAGAAACCTTACTAGAACATTTATAGATATATACAATTGTAAATCTCACTTCTTGAGGTAACCTACAATTGACTACTTGAATCACTTATACATGGTTATAGTTTTATATACAAAATTTTTTAATTATTTATAGAAATAGTTACTTTAAATGTTCATTACTTCGGGATTTGTCCATTCTTTATTTCTACAGCAAAATATGTAGTACGTTGATCGGATGGCAATAGATATCATTTTTCTGATACAATATTGTTGGTGTTGATTATCCAGTCCTAACTCATTTAGCATTTTTACAAATGTATGGCATTCTTTGTCAAACACCCCTAGCGAACTGACTGGAAGATTTATAAATTTAACAGATGTAAAGTTTTGATCTAGTTCTCTAATTAGGTTATTATATTTAGCTTTCTTGCTGTTAACATTGTTTGTGAGGTTTGATTCAAAGCCTACGGTAAGTTCAACAACGTAGAGGTGCTTGTCTGAAGTGGAGACAAGTAAATCAGGACGATATTCATCACCCGTAATAATCGAGGGGCTTTCAAATCCAGGAAGATCAACAAGTAATTTGCATTCGTTTAAACTTTGAAAGGTTTTTGCAAGAAACTTTAGTATGCAATCGTGTCTCCAAGTAAATCGTTCCAAGTAATGTTGACAACCGGCAACAACGTGCAGAAGTGATTCAGGGTGTAAGCAGAACGAGCAGTCAGAACTTGATGAAATTCCCCATCTACTGAGGTTCTTTCGGGTAGGAAGGGTATTATTATTCATATAGCGAATTGTAAAGTTGAAAATGTTCTTTGGTAGCTTTGATTGCGATGCCGACCAGATTGCGTTAAGTTGTGATAGGGAGAATTTAGAAACATTTTCGAAAAAGGAACCTTGACATTTCAAACGGTCCCTAAGTTTATTTTCTTGTTGACAATGGAAAGTTTTTAAAACTTCTATGGTTGAATTGTAGCTATCGTATTGAATGTTAGTATGATTATTAGTTGACTTCCACAGTTCGTTAATTGAATCGTTTGGAGATGTTTTTAGGGCATTGCGTATAGAACTGTTTGACACTGAATGAACTTGACGGATGCAGGGATGATATTTAGACCAAACTTATTACGGGTTAGGAAGATGTTACTTAATGTTCCAGATATAGGTACTTCCAGCCATTTTCGGACGTACTTGTTCACCGGAGAATCGATATTTTTCACTACCCAAGTTTTAGATATCGTAGCAACAGTAAAATGCCAGGATACTTTCGACAAAACATAACGACTGTAAAGTTAAATTTTGTTTTTTGGGTGAAGAGGTTTAAGATCTATTTCGGACATTACTTAATTAATGAGGGAGATCAGTTTACATTTATGTTTTTCATTAGTCACGCTAAAGTCGAAGTGTCGTCCCAAATACTCAAATGATTCTCCAGTCTTAATCGTTGGTATGAGATCCTTATTGATCAAAAGCTTCGGCAAGTACTGGGCAGATTTGGATAAAACTTTTTTGATGCCAAATGTGCTACATTTATCAATAATAATAATAATAATAACAATAATAATAATAATAATAATAATAATAATAATAATACAACTTTATTCATCATTTCATTATATACAATAATGCTTTTGTTATCAATGACTATATTAAATAATCTGTTCTTTGGGTATAATTAAAAAAGTGTCTAAATGTTTGTTGATATGTACAGTTAAATTTTAAAAACAAACTCTGGAACATATACCGCTACATAATTAAAATATTTACCGCTAAGTAGCTAAATAACTAAACTAACATATTCCGCTAAATAACTAAACAACTAAACTTTGTATATGTACAATCTAAAATGTTTGAGAGATAGCACTCTCGGCGTTCTCAATGTTGAAATCAATGTTCTTAATATCATACATGATTTTCCTTGCCCTGAAACCCCTCAAGCAGGTAAGTGCCGATCTCAATAAAGCGAATGAGGTTCTGGCTCTTATCCAACTCATAGTTGTCACATAATCTTCGCCTTTCTTTATGGCTACCTACTCTGCCAATCGACTATGGTATCTCACACATTCTTTGCCCATACCGCCTGTGGTGGTGAATACGAGTGGCGTAAATGTTTCTTGCTTTTTTTCGAGGACTCTCCTTGCATACAGGCGCTTCTTCTCGTTTTCGTGTATCTTGTAGACTTGGCGTAGCTCCAGGTCCTTGTAAGAATCAGCATTGGGATGACAAACCCTTACATCAAAAAAGGCTTATCGTTGACTTTCCCAGAACCCACGCGCACGAATGTCGAGTCTAGCATCAGGTGCTCTGTTGGAGCCTCCATTTAGTTGCTCTCCCGAGATGTCTTGAAGGACAGGCTCAACTTGGACGTCACTACAGACAACGTTGAGGAGTTCCGCTTCCAGATCTCTTAACTTATTGTGGCGCATAATTACAAAGCCTACACGTTTGCAGATCATGGCATGGTCAACCGTGAAGGTATCCCCACATACACATATGGAGGGGATGTCGTCGATTGGCCAATCATGGCGCAGCTTTACGGCATCCCGAGAAATCCCTGTTCTTTTATGGGAAGTGCTGTGAGCCACACAGATGATCCTTTTTCCGAAGCCACATCTAATATACGCTGAATTCTTGGTGGTGCACTCTCTCTAATACATTCTGCCCTCTCCTCCCACTCTTGCACTCTTTCTTTTCTAACGGCTTGTTGCGCTGATTTTATATGCGACTCGTCGGGTAGCTGATGTAACTGCGCTACAATCTGATCAACAAGAGGTGCTGTCACTCTTTTTGACGACACATACTGACGTTCTGCCTCATGACTTGGAGTTTCCAAGCCCATGCCACCCAGACGTGCTGAAAGTGCTAGAATGTCCCGATCGAGTGGATTGCACTGGTGATCTGTGATAGCGGGGATGAGAATCTGCGATATTGCCTTTTCGAGTGGCTCTAGTAGGTCCTGGATGTCTGGCAGGGTTCTTAGGAAGTAGGTCCAACGATGTTACAAACCAAATGTGTATGCGGCATAGGACGCTTGTGGTTGGGACAGTGCAAATTCGGCTAATTCTGTCACTTCGTTGACCCAATTAGAGACCTTCTCATTAACATATTCCTCCAGATACTCTCGTGAACCTAGCGCTGCTCCCAGATGTTTCTGCCCATGCACTGTTACATTGATATCCGTTCCGTGGAAGACTTCTCTCACACTTTCTTCCTTTTCGGGCTTAACAATAATCCAGCATTTCTCGTTTTTCGGAAAATATCCCAAGTTTGGACCAAGAGTATTCAATGCATCCCACCAATCTTTGATTTGTGTCACACGACCAGCTCCACTCGCATCGTCTGCGAACCAACACTGCTTCACGGTAGATGCGGCCTGCAGACTCGTGATCAAAGGCAGGGTACTTATCGCATAAAAGGACATTGCCAAAGGATCTCCTTGTGTGGTTCCTTCTGCTGACGCAATCTCTTTGCCGCCAACAATAAACAGCCGAGCTGTCTGTCTGTAGGTGTTTATAGCGTAGGCAGCGATTATCGGACATAACACACGGATGTTATGCAGAGCCACAGTTCTGTTGAGTGCATTAAATGCATTGGAAGCATCGATAAGTAAAACAGCATCAATGTCATCAGCTTCAAACAGTGTGTTCATTGCATGTATT